TTTTCAATTTATCAGATAAACTTAGCCTGTTATGATCAAGAAAATTCGTTTAAAATAAAAAAAAAGATTTGTGTGTAACGCCACGTTCATCATGTCCTGCTTTCTCCAGTGAGTTGGCGAGTACAGTCATGAGCCAGTAAATTGAAATATATCGGTTATTTCCAAAAATTTTGTCATGTGTCATATGAAGATCAAAGTTATCATAGTTATATATCATGGTTATATATTTAGAGGATTGCAACAGGAAAATGAGAACAACATTCACATGCCTTTTTTCACTACAGAAAAGTTTTCAGTTTCTACGTTCAAATTCTGTCCAGCTCTTCTATAGTTTCCAGCCACGTGATTATTTAGACAGGCATAAGCTTGATCGGACTTTCCTGATTAGCTATAGATAACTGTGGACAATTAGCACCCTCAGGTTATTACCCTTGGGAGTTGTTAGGAGAGAGCATGGGGACATTCACCTGTTTACCTATATTAGACATCAGTGTCCCCGCCTTCCGTCATCTCAGTACGGACAGCTCATTAAATCATATTGAATTATATGAGGATATCACAAATTTAGATATAGGACCTTTTTAGACGCATGGTATTTTTTAAGCTAAAGGTCTGATTGTTTAGAGTGGATCTTCAATGAATGGCCTCTTCGGATAGGCTTGTTGGTAACCATCTATTAATAGCATCAGATGTGTCTTCTTAGTTAACTTACTCGCAGGCATTATGCTCAAAATTTCACAGGCCAGGATCTGTTACTTGGAAAGAATCTCAGAGTTTTTGGGATCTCAGAAAAAAAAAAAAAATAAATAAATAAATAAATAATAAAAATAAAAATAAATAAATATCCTTAGAAAAAGTTATGTCGTCCTCCAGCCTTCCATTTCCAGAGACAATCAAATTGTTAAGACATCTTACTTCTTTTTATAATCAATTGTAAGTTTATATTAGTATGAAGGAGGGTTAATTCAGCTGAACCCTTTTTTGAACGAAACGGCTCAGTCGATTAGAGTCAGATGTTTCAAAATCCAAAGTTAAGCTGTTAATATATATATATATATAACATTTTAAACTACCTATTTTATAATTTGTTTTTTCATTATGTTGTATATGTATTACTCTAATTACATTATTAAAGTATAGGAAAATATATTTTGGATTTTTCAGTGTTTATATACCTGCGTTTATTTATTTATTTTTGCTTAATAAAACTAATGAAAACTTCACGCATGTCAGTTGCTAATGCAATTCTTAGGATGTGCGAGAAATTCGGTAGTGCTACAGAGGAAAACATCTATTATATAAGTACTGATCAATAAAACATACAGCGGAATACATACAGTAACTATAAAATATTTTTATGACTGAATGTGAATACGAGGAAATATATACCTGTGTATGATATCCAATAACTGTGAGGATACACTGTAATTGTACCTTCCCGACGATAAATACATATATACCAGCAAGAATTATTTCAAGGATCGATAGTTATTCTTACGATAGGATAATCATAAAAATAAGGAAAAGAAATGTTTTTTAAGTTGAAATAACTAGATAACGACTAGACGGTTTTCACTTTTTGTTGCAATATTTAATCATTTCACGGTTACTTCCACATAAAAATCTTTGGTTCACATTACAGTTGGATTTGTTTCCCATTATTGTAAAAGGCTGACTAATACTCAATCATATACAAGAAAAAAATTACGTCTTTGTATTCCTCTTGAAGAAGGAAAAAAACTTTTATGAGAAAGATAAAATGAAGAAGTGTTTACTTTTAATTATTTACAGTAAATTAGAAGTACATTACAGTATATTAGAAAAGGAACAGAAGTTTTAGTAAATATAATTCGAAATATTCCTTATTCTTTATTCAACGTAACTGATTGAATGGCTCAATTGTAATAAAAATATCTTACACGTGGCAAATGAAGACTACCGCAGATAAAATAAAAGAAATCTATTTCTATATACTTACCTTACAAATGACATATCTAATTATTTATTGTAAAGTCACGTACAAAACATTAAAGTAAAATATGATAGAATAAAGAAGTACTCAGTAGATGAAATTTGCAACATATTATAACATATTGCAGCAATAACATTTATAAGAAATTTAAAAGTTTCAAAATTTAAGAATGCGTTATCAGTTTAAAAATTTAGCCTTTGTTTAATTTTCTAAAATAAGCATAGAGTAGAATTCCAATTTTCTAACTAACTAGAACTACAGAACCATCGGATAATCTTGAATCAGGATGAATGGGTTGTATTATTTTGTAGGTCAAATGCATGTTTATTGTAATACACGTAAGGAAGTTTGAATGTTTCGTTTACTGAATTGTATTTCAGACAAAATTGTGCAATCAAAAAGTGAAATCATTTTTCTTCCTTAAAAAAATATAAACACTTTTTTGACAGATTTAAGCAACATAATTAGTTTTTATTTATTTTAATACTTTGCCCAGTTTTAACTAAAATAAAACAACAGAACAACTTTTTATTTACACAAGCTCTAAATCTTAAGCAAAGTAAGCCTGTGTATAGTACAGGTTTTCAATTAATTTCAATTCAGCTTTGTATATTTACCTAAGACTTTCATCTAAACGAATTTAACAGCTTTTAAAGTGGGCATTATACTCTATTATCGTGTTTGTTTTCTATAAATCAACAATAATCTAAAAAGATATAAATATATTAACAACAATCTTAATATTACTTGGCTTTATCAAAAAAGCAATCATAATAAATTGAGTTTTGAATAACTTATATCTCGATAGTTGCAATTCTACTGCAATACTTTCTAATTTTTATGATTGTAATGTGATATTAGTATTAAATAAAATGATACATTTTGAACGAAAAACAATAACAATCGATAATTTTCAAGCAAAATGCGAGCAAAACTGCGTGATCTAGTTTAAAAAGAAATAAAGAATATTTATTCTTGCTTAAAATATACCAGTAGAAAAATCAAATAGGAACTGAACATATATATATATAAAATTCAGTTCAAAATTATAGCGTAAAAGTTTTAAATTAATATTTACCTAAGATATTATAAAAAGAATTAAAATTTTGACAATTTCCATTTTTACAAAGTGTTTAACTCTAAATCATCTATACACAAGTGCTCCGTAAGCATATTTCACAAGTGTACATCTGTGTAGCCACCGAGGGAGTGGCTTCTAGGATGGACCAATGAGCATCCAGTAATATTTCTGTCATGTCACATGACCTTTCGCGTGCTTTAAGATTTAAGCAAAATGGTTGAAAATATTCTGCTACGCAGTTTTTCTGTACAAAATTAAAGCATCGTCGATTGCTTCTGAAACTTTTCATTGGGAAGTTAGATCAAATATAGGCAATTATGAAGATTTCACTACCTGGTTGAAATAAATACAAACACTTGTCGGAGACTTTGCAAAAATATCGATGTGAAATATTACTTAATAAGTGGTAAATAAGACGAAGAAAGAAATACGTGATAAACATCTGAGCCCAAATGCAATCTTTACATAAAACTATGCGTATGAGAAAAATATTTACACCAATTATATATAGTAAATAGAAGTCAGCACTTTTTATTGCAGTCTATATGAAAAAGATGTTCTATAATAATAACCAATGCAGAATTTTATTCAAAGCGAACTTTACTAATTTGCATTCGTATACATTTAGTGTGTTAAATTTCACATTTAATAACTGCTCACTCTTAAATGTACTGTCTACGCAAGAAATACTCATCAAACAGAATGAATTTATCTTATTCACAACGAGTATATGCAATTTATTCGCATATAACTTTTAATATTAACCATGGATATAATCAGATTATATGTATTCTGAATCTTACACTTTAAAAATCAAAAGAATGCAAGCACTGAAATAAGAAAATACTAGCTAAATTGTAACACTTTCAGTCATTCTCAGTTCGATTAAAAAAATATACTCTTGAATTCTCTTAATCCACATAATATGCCGTGAACATCAATCCAAATATTAATGCGGAATAAAAAATCGCGAAAGTGAAATCTCAGCGATTAATTAAATTCAGAAAACGAGAGCACTACAAGATTTCTACTATTACGCCACATATTTATAACTGCGAAACAAATGCAAATTAAAGCTTAAACAACGTACGCTCACATGCAGGAAGATTTAGCGTCACAAGAGCAATAGCAGCTCATTGGTCCATTTTCGAAACCCCTCCCTCAGTGGCTACGCTGATGTGCAGTTGTGAAATATGCGCTCCGTAAGTCCAACATCTGTTTCAAATGATGTATGTATGATGTTCAAATGCCTTTTATACATTTTAGAAATCCGAACAAAGCAGTAACGTAGTACACGGATTCACTCAATGCAATAACACGAAGTAGATGACAATATAATCAATTTGATACACTCTTGATACATTCTTAACGGATCCGCTTTTTTTAGGTGGAGCAGGATAATAAACTTCCTGGCATAAATCCAAAATATTAAACTGACTCCACACGTAAAGGCAAGTGTTTGTTAAGTCTGGGTTGCATGAGTATTACTCAATACTCCTTAAGCGACTTTGACAATAAAGGCGACGACGGCTGGACTTACGGCGGATTAATTCATCTTCCTGTAGTTTTATTATATATCATATTTAAGTAATAAATAGTTGTTATAGTACATATTCCCCATCTATTTTAATTCATATCTTCTATTGCAATATTATAGTTTATAGAATGTTTCACGATAAAGTGATTACATACGTATCATATTGTAAAATTACTGCTCGATATCGTAAGACTGAAGAAAGTTTATTTTAAAGGACAGCGAAGAAAACTTTATGACGTTTGCAAAATATCAGGCATAGATGAAACAGTAATAAACTTAATAACAATAAGAACTCACCCTGCACATCTAACAAATAGAAAAGCACTGTGTGCGTAATGTACAAAGATACGATGAATAATTTAACAAATGATTTTTGCTTTTTTTACCACAGTTGAAGAACTCAAAATATTTCAAAATGACCTTCGAGACTTAATTCTGATTATATCACTGTGTGTTTCTATCATATAGACGTGCGGTATTGGTATCACACAGATGCTTTTCAAGCGTAAATTGTTGTCAGTTTCAGAATTGCTGCGATAAGTACTATCGCTATTGCACTTTTGTTTCCCGATTGTAGAGCACTGGGATATTACACTCCTGGTTTCGGAAGCTGAAGTTACATCATTATTTTCTACACGCGGTATGATTTGTGTTGATGTTTGTTGCCCGCGCAAAATCGTTTCGTGTTCTTCCTCTATCGATGATACAATGTCTGCGTTTTCATCGGTAACACTATGCTCCTGAGATTTTACAGACATTGCCCTCATTATGAATGACGGCATCATCTGCTTTTCTCTGACGTTTTTGGATTTGCATACAGAAATTATTCTTTTGAAGAACTCACTCTTGAACTGTCTGTTAGATAATCCATACACAAATGGATCCAGTACGGATGCGGTTTTGCAGAAAAGTGCTGGAATCATGGTGGAAAATGGAGTTATCATGGAGCGATCAGTGAATATTCCTAGCAGAGCTACAGTAGCGTATGGTGTCCAAGATATTGTCCACATGGAAATTAGTCCAAAAGAAATTTTAGCTAGCTTGATTTCTAATTTCTTTTGGTTCTCGACGTTCCGATCTGTACCTTTCACATTTTGCGAGTGATGCATGAACATTTTTTGGCTTTCGCAGACGCTAAGTACTATACCAATGTAGCAGTGGCATATAATTACCATAGGTACGCACCAAGCTGCAACGAAGAACGACAATACAAAGATTTGACTTGACAGTTGATCTGATAAGTAATCGAAAGTGCAGCTGGTTAAGAATCCTTCTGGAACATACCTATTCAGGCCAAACAAAGGCATAAAACTGAATATGCTTGCATACATCCAAATAGATGTAACCATTATAAGTGCTCTTGTTCTTGTCATTCGGCTTGAAGGATCAAGAGGACGAGATACACACATATATCTTTCAATGGACATCATGGCAATGGTCATTATAGCAGATGTGCCGGACAATCCGCCCATGAAGCCATAATAGGTACACCCTAAAAAAAGCGTTAGTGAATCATATGTTGTAAAAAATACTTTTCAACAATTAACTAAGAATTACAGTTTCTATGATCAGAAATATTCTCTTAAATTTACAATTAAATGCATTTACACTCTATAACATAAAAAAACGACGCACCAAGAAGGGAGTATCTAAATGGGAAGAAATTGTGTATGTTCATACCTTTTAACAGAATATGCAAATGATTAACTTTTGGCGTCCAATAGTTGACTAGCTGGAGCTCCAGCGCACTACATCGGAACATCGGCATGGTGTATAAAACCGAGTGAAAGTTTAATTGAAGTGAAAGTGGTGAAACTGAAGTGTTAAAAGTCTAACTCCTATACGAATGCGGTTCCTTCAACCGACGTGAATTTTACCAATGCCTCGCAGACTGGTTCATGAACAATATCAGCTGATGTTACCATTTGAGAAAGGACGTGCAACTGGACTAAAGGAAGCATGGTGGTCAAATCATAGTATTGCTAGTGTGTATTTGGGACACAATACGATGACCACTGAATAGGCGGCTCAGCGAACGGGGCTGAGGTCACGGAGGCCATTGCAACCACTGCCCTTCAGTTTTGCACACGGCTATGCGCGTTTGCAGTGGTTCCGGGTGCACTTTACCTGCGATTTCGCGGACTTGAATAGAATTGTTTTGAACGATGAGTCCTACTTCGAACTTAGCCCTGGTGATCAGCAAATATATGTCTAGAGATTCCCAAAACAAAGCTGAGGTATTCATCTGACTCTCGTACGCCCCAAAAAACCGAGATTTATAGTATAAGATGCCATTCCATTTGAAATCCGGACCCCTTTGGTTGACATTCGTGACACACCTATAGCACGGTTGTACGTCGACGAGATTCTAAGCCTCGTAGTATTTCCCTTCCTTTCACAGACCGCTGGCTTTACACTTCAGCACAATATGCCTAGCCGCACACGGGATGCTTTTCTACTGTTTGTTTTTGGGCTTCTCCAACACTTCCCAGGCTAGCCGTGAGCGCCAGATTTTTTCCCCCCAACAGAGCACGTTTGAGCTTTAATGAGTAGGTGTCTCTGACCATTCCTGGATCGTGCTCATCTAACTCGCAAGTTAGAACGTGTATTCAAGGACAACCCATGGAGGTAGGAACTTCCTACCTACCTCCATGGGACAACCGTGCCGGTTCTCTAGAGGTATTTGCCATCTCAACGAGTCAGTGCCCAGCCGGATAATAGCTTACATCAGGGCGAGGAGATGAGCCTGTTGTTTTGCTCTTACTGCTATATTTTCTGAATGAAACATTCAATTTATTTGATATTGTCGGCATTTCGTTTTTAATACATGTACATCAAATCTGTCTATTTTTATTCCATTCAGATAACTCCTTCTTGGTGTTTCGTTTTTTATGTTATATATTATATATACGATACATTTGGTATAAATTATCAGGGAATGGGATTAGTAACGAAAAATTCGTAATTTCATAAACTCATATTACTCTCTCAAGACTTGTTAAAAATTATGTTATAAAATTTGTAGTTGGTATTATGTTAGCGATACTAAATATCATTTTAATTACTAAAATGTAAATAATAATCGAATTTTTAAATCTGTGAAAGCATTTTCACAATTAAAATAAGTTCAACGCAATTTTGCTCTAATGAACAAGAAATTATCATGCATTTTTATTTGCTACTTTTATAAATTAAGGTATACATACACATACATATACACTTTTTAGTTATGATCTGACATAAACATGTTATTCTAAGAATTTTGACATGAGCTTCTTTTTTGTACAGAAAACTATCTTCGTGCATATATAAAAGTTTCCCCTACTTTTCCAAGGCACAACGTTCCTAACGAATACTTTGCAAACCGAGTTGACATTAAGCAAAAAAACGATTATCGTTAGCTTAGAAAAAATGTTTGAATAGTAAAAACATAATTAATAAAATTTAAAAGTATCAGTACAAGACATAATAAACTAACTGTACCCAACAATATATAAAACCTAAAATAATATTAACATACAGTAAAAGCAGAAATGGTACCATAAATAGAGTGACTATATAAAGGAATAGCAATATAAGTGCAGTGCAACTTTCGAATAGGGAAGACAGTTACTACTGTTAGTTCAAAGATGATTTAGTGGTTAGAGGATGGAATGCTGGGGATCCAGGCAAAGGTACAGGCCCGACAGTGGGTATAGGATCTAAAGGAAGGTCCTTTGTTAAGATCTCCTCTTGCTGGAATCATTAGGATTGAGATTAAGATTAGGATTAAGAAGATTATTATATTTATTCTGCTTTCTTTATTGCTGAGGTTTTCTATTTGCTGTAGATTGTGTGACAGGCCTTGAAATATAACAGTATGGTTTACTCCTCAGATTCATTTCTACTTCTGCCATACAATTCTTGTAGGCACTAAAATTAATTTCCAGACCTGTTCTAAATTGAAGTGCTATTTCAGAACAAAATTGAGCGGAACAAGCACTACCACCTTCGTTTTCCGTGCATTTGCTTTGCTGTAATTCCATCATGAAGAAAAGTAAGGTAGTGAGTGAAAAAGAGGTTAAGTGAACTTTTATATAGCAGGGGAAACTTTGAATGATAATAGCGCTCAGAAATCACTGTATTGAAATTTAAATTTGCCTTAGCTTTAAACAGTCTTAATATGTTTCAAAAACTGATACATAAACTAATATGACCTCCAATGACTTTTAGCAAAGTAACTTACACTTAGGTCCAGCCGCTGGTCCACCCAAAAAACTGTTATAAGCAAATATCGCAATTTTGTGAAGCATCAAAATATCACTGATAGCCAGATTAATCACCAAGTAATTTGAAGGTTTCCTCATTCTTTTAGTTCTGAAAGAAAAAAAAAAGTATAATTATCTCTCTATATGTACACACATATATAAAGATTAAAATGTAAAAAAAAAATTATTCATCTAATAATGCTTGGAGTAAACATTTTAAATAAGCATTAATATGAAGGCAATCATGAATGTATCGAAGGAGAAATCTCAAAAGCTTGGTAGAAGTAAATTCTTAAAATGGAGGGGAAGTTAATAGTTTTTTAAAACTGATAAACTGCCTTTCGATTGACTTAAAGATTTAAAATTTCGTGCTCTTAATCTTTTGGTCTTTTAAGTTTTTTTGTCATTTTTTGATAAAATGTTTCACTACCTGCCTGATTTCTGTACCTGAACGAAATATATATTAACAGTTATGTGTAGATGTTTATACCAGGTCTTACACTTATACACCATTTCTTCAAAATAAACTGTAACGTCATATATGTTGACACTTGACAGAGATTACTTCCAGTAAAATTAATAGGATCTGTATGAACATAATGCATAATTCGAACTTGAAAATAATTTATCCAAATTATTACATACCTTGTTGGAATATGATGGCTGTAGGCTTAAGTTCTATAGATATACGCTTTCAATTACAATTATTATTAAAATAAAATAGCTTCAAGGAAATGGTGGAGGTTCATAGGAGAAGGAAAGGTTCTGTAAAAATAGAAACTAACATTTCATACGGCCTTGGAAAAGCAAAATACCTGATTAGTAAAGTATTTATTGTTAGTTAGTTAGTTAGTTCTAAGCTCTGGCCCCCAGCCCACCTAGCAGGCGAAACCTGCCACATGGCTATGAGGGAACAGGCCAAGCCACAAACGCATAACAAAAAACAAAGAAAAGTAAAGTAGATACATACATTCCAAACACTCTTTGTGAATTAGTATATAAATGCATCGTTTCCCTTTCTGTCTTTTTTTCTGAAGTTTAAAAGATAAAAAGACAGAAAAGATAATTTTACTTTCAATAAGTCTTACTTTCAATTAGTTATTATTATTCAAATCTTCTTTATATTATCAGTTTTCAGTATGATTTTCTGCTTTGTTATATCTCGATATCAATATTCTTCTTATTCTCATTCACAGTTTGCATAATATCTCTTGCAAATTTTCTAAACAATTTATAATTACTAAATAAATCCTCATACTTCGTAAGTTTGTATTTTCCTCTCACACTTCCAGTCAGGCAACAGTCCTCGACGAAATGCTTTGACTCGCCGAATTTATTACAAACTTTATTGTATTTTCAATAGTATTTATTGTATTTTCAATAGTTAAATAACAAATCGTTCTATACTTCTGAATTCAAAATTTGTAGATATATGCTTAATAAATGATTTCAAGTGAAAATTTACCATAGAATTTGGATTTACTCAATCTGTAACCGAATCGAAGGGCGTTTGTCAAAATACTTGTTATATTTTTGAATATATGTGATTTTTTAATGGATTGCCGTCAAATATAATCACTATAAAAATGATAAAAAATTATAATTTTGAGAAATTTATGCAAAAACCTGAAAACTTTAGGTCAAAAATTAATAATATCATCAGCCATCACTGACAAGAAAATATTGATGATAAAATATATTTTTGGCTTTGTGTTATATATATTAACCAAAAGCATACAGTGAAGTAGAATAATTGGAAAATATAGATTCACTAATAGTATGTCGCTCAGCACTCAAAAATTAGAGTTATCATGGTTGCTGTGAACATAAAAAAAATTAATCAAAATTCACGTTTAAAGCTTTCATTTTACCATTATATGAAATATATACACAACTATTCACTTAAAACGCTCCTGACTTATATGTCATTCCTTATTTTTTTTTAAACAAATTATTATTATTATTATTTTGTTTTCTTAGCGCACTTTTAGTTTTTTCCTATGAATTTTGGCGAAGATTGAAAAACGCCAATGAGAATCAACAATTCTTGTTGCATTTACCTTGTTATAATCTTCGGCTGTAAAATAGTTAGGATTCATTTTAAATGACTCAAATATTTTAATACAGCCAGAAATTCCCTCATTAAATAAAATTACTTTGATGTTAGCACCAAATATTAAAGTTTCTAAGGAAACAAATATATTTTTAGGCACTATTTGCAATAGAATTCTATTGAAACTCTACTCTGCTTTCTGTGTTTTACTATGCACAAATTTCTATAACAGTTCCCTATTAGCAGGGACAGTGACAGGGAAAAGTGGACGGAGCACCAGAACTTCGTCAGTGGCTTTTACAGGTGTTGCTCCGCCACACTACTGTACCCCGCTGGGCTTTTAGTTGGCCCGCAACGGATGCTAGCCTACCAAGACATTTACATAGTAATTTTACATTAATACTAGACTTACGTATTGAATATACAATTACAAAGACACAGTATACAATTATTACAAAGAGATTGACCTATTAACGAAAGTTGGATTATGGTAGATTAATATAACATAATTACTTCGAACATACATACAAACTTTCATTTTACATTGTACTTCATACAAACAATATATTTACATTAGTATATCAAGTTATATCGAATTACAATAAACATCTTTTTAAGAAACTAATTGGGGAAGAATTTTTTTTTTTTTGTACATATTATTATACTTAGTTGAATTACTAAGGCGAAATATCTTATTAATACATTTCCTTTCATTTTTTAACTTGTTACACACAACTGCACAGCACTGAAGTCTTACATTATTATTTTTGTATATTAATGTATCATAAACACAGAAAATATATATTAGAAGATCGTGTAGTACTTACATTTACACTAATATATCTAATAGAGTCGTATATTATTTTTTTAATTAATTATTTTAATTTATTACAAGATTTTTCCCCCTCATGTCCTAATACAGTCTCAAATTCTTAATGTAACTATTTTATGTAAAAACTATTCATACCATATTTAGCCTGTTTCAGACATTTGCAATATTTCTGAAATCTTGCATTATTTATTGCAAGTTGTGGTAATAAGAGGTATTTATACAGATGTGATAACATCTTGACATATATATGTCTTCTCTTTTATATGCGAAAAGTTTCTTCATAATCAAGGAAACCTTTTGTTGTAATTGAGGGATCGTTAGCATGCATTTAATGTACTCAGGCGTAATTTGTGACCTTCCTTTGCAGTGTAGCTCTTTTGTGAGCTGGCACTTGAAAATATAGTGCTCTGGGTCTCCCTTTTCCCCACGTACGCACTTGTCTGAATCGCTCAAATTTCGTGCAAAGTAGTACGTGGGGAAAGGACCATGTCCAGATAAGAATATGTTGATGAAGAAGTTATATGAGATTGGATCATATGTGGTTTTTTTTTTTTTTTTTTTTTTTTTTTTTTTTTGTAGAAGTTAAAAAGCCTTCTACCTACTTCTGCATTTTCCCATTCAGCTTGCCATTTCTTTAATGTAATTTTTTTCAACATATGTTTCGCATACGATTTAGGGAATGGGACATTGACTGGAGGTAGAGATGGGTCTTGAGCTGCATTCTTAGCAAGCGCATCTGCCCTTTCAATTTGGGCTTGTCCAGCATGCGCTTTTACCCACTTTATTTTTATAGATGTTATGTTGTGCTGTGATATTAAATCTTAGATATCTTGTACTATTAATGATTTGTTTCTTGCATCACTGACAGCTTTAATTGGCGCTTGGCTATCACTGTAGATGGTAACATATGTTAGATGCTTTTGATGAGACCGTAGAATAGCGTATTTTATGGCTGAAAGCTCAGCTTGGAAAACGCTGTTGTTGTTCCTTAGGTGTCTTTTCCGTTCTGTTGTTTCTTGTTCTGAGAGGAGTGCAAAGAACGCGCATTCTACTTCTTCGTTTAACTTTGACCCATCTGTGTACACGACTGGAAATGAAGGTACACTGAGGGTGTCTTCTTTTGTAGATATTCTGAGTTTTTCATGTACAGCAGGGTGTCTTAGGTTCGTTACCTTAATCGCCAAAACTATTTTGTTTTCAGAGGACGACTAAATTTATTTTCAGTGTCTTGAATGTTTTTGATGAAAGGCGTAAAAATAAGGCTAAGTTAATAAAAATTTTTTTTTTCGAATATCTCAGCGAATTACATGTATAAAAAATCTGATGTGTACACCACATGACTTCCTTGTACGGAATATTAAATTATACTCATTTTTCTTGCATTTCATTTAAACTTATTGGATTGAATTAAGTCTACTTCGCCGACAGCGCATAAACCACAATAGAATAAATGCATTCTTTAAAATTCAATCTATTATTTGTTTACCATAGCGACGCTCTGGCGCTAGATTCACTTAAAAATTATTACTGTAACTAAATTTGTAATACTGTCAGTTTGCGCGCAGTGCTTCAGTACAAATTTTAAATTTTCGGAAAATACACTTAGTTTTTTCTTTATAAAACAAATTCTTATACACTATTAAGTAAAATAAATCAAAAAAGATAATCATCTATGTATAAAGATGACACACTGAAAATTTCATATATGTATGACAAAAACAATTTGACTTATTAAAACTCGAAAATCAGCTAAAATTCTCACTTTTTGTGTTGCGAAAAAGTGATGACTCCCCTTCAGTATTATATTTCGTTCATATTATAACTCATAATGCACAAAATCTATATCATTTAAAGTTAGAATTATCTAATCGTTGCCACATGTTCTATTCAAATACTATAATAAAGCTAGAATGATGTATAAAAGAAATTAAGCAAAAAAAAAAAAAAAAAAAAAAAACAGTTTTTTCACAGACGATTGAGTATTTCATTTCATTTAATGATTATTCAGTTCTCACTTCGCGAGAAGGCAAAAATACATGAAAACTCAAAATATCTATATTAAAAATTACGAAGTAAATCTCAAACACTTATTTCCTAGAAAAAATTCCAGAAAGAATTAAGCATGATTTAATTGGCAATAATAAATTGGGCGTTCGTTATCTTTGTTGTTGCGAAGCTAAGTTTCTCTAGATTGGCAACAAATCCACTAGTCTCCTGTTTCAAA